GAGAGAGAGAGAGAGAGAGAGAGAGAGAGAGAGAGAGAGAGAGAGAGAGAGAGAGACCCATGCCTAAAATGGGTCTAGAATTCGTGATCTCCTGGTTCATAAGCCAGCATCTTAACCACTAGACCAAATTTTCCTGAGCTTCTTATACAGGTATCCACAGGATGCAGTCAAAACAAACAAGATGCCATCAGCAACTGTGTAATCAATGAATATTAGAAAAAAAAAAAGGTAGAGTTTTGATCACACCAGTGAAAAAGCGCTTCCCACCAGACAGTCTGCTTTGCAGAGGGGGTTTCCTGGTCCTGCTGGATCCTCAACAGGTCCATGGACATGACCTTGAGGAAGGAATGGTTGAGCCATTAAAGAAAAGCAAAAACATTTTGGTCTGGGAAAGTGCAAAGAGAGAAATATGCCCTAGTCCAGACAGCCTTTTGTTTGTTCTTCTGCAGTGTGACTAACCCACAAGAGAGAAAATTTGGCCCAGCGGGGAAAAGATCTTTCCACAATACAGTACAATAAACTAAGTGGAATCTTGGCTCAGGAGATAGAACTGACTCATGACAAAAGATCACTCCAGGGAAATAGGTTTGGGAGTGGATTAGAGTGGAAATAAAAATCTCAGTTTCTGAACACCAGCATTTCTCAGCTACTCAAATAATAATGTTTAGTACGGAGGTGAGGAACTACGGTATGGCCCCTTTATGACTTGTGGACTTCAACTCCCAGAATTCCTAAGCCAGCCAGAATTCCTGAGCCAGCTACATCATAATCCCACTAAACCAGGGGTGGGGAATGATGGCCCTTTTATGACTTGTGGACTTCGACTCCCAGAATGTAGACTGAAAGACTTGTGGACTTCATGGCTGGCTCAGGAATTCTGGGAGCTGAAATCCACTAGTCATAAAAGGACGATTGTTCCCCAACCCTGGTTTAATGAAATTATGATGTAGCTCAGAAATTCTGGCTACTTTGGGAATGAATGTAGAAATATTAAGCTTTTTTAATACCTAGGTTGGCAGCAGGTTTCAAGAATCATGCTTGAAAAGTTCCTTCTGAGCTGGCTCAGGAATTCTGGGAGTTGAAGTCCACGAGTCATAAAAGAGCCAAGGTTGACTACCCCTGTGCTAGATTATAGCATAGCATAGCCAGCCATGCTGGGTGAGGAATTCTGGGAGTTGAAGTCCACGAGTCTTAAAGTTGCCAAGTCTGGAGACCTCTGCTCTAATGTAAAACTTATTTTATTATATGTATATGTATTCCTTTCCTTTTTTGTTTGGTTTTACTATTACAAAATAAATTAGCTGCCCTTATTACATGTTCCAGAGCAATGAATGTGAAATGGCACAACCAGTGTTTTTTTTTGTCATAGAACACACCGGAACAGAGTTCCGGCACATTTTTTGACGGATTTTCCAAGTTTTAAAAGTAACTTTTGAAAATTTGATGTTTGGTCCACGTGGATTTGAATCGCCCTGTTGACCGTAGCAGGTCGGCGGCAAAATCATTAAAACGGTGCATGCGGGTTGCTTGTGTGTCGAGTCCAATGCATGCGTACTTCGTCCACGCTGGTTGTGATGGCGTTGCTCAGCTTGTGGCACTGCTCGGCTTGTGATTGGTTGTGTGGTCGCACGCTGAGTGCTTACTGTGGGTGGCGACCATGTTTCGTTACACAACTGACATGTGTGGGTGTTACAGTGATTGACTACGTGCGAAAGGTAAATAATTTATTTTAAAAAATCGTTGGTGAATTGAAAATCTTTTTTTAATTTTTAGTGTAAAAGTGTGACCCCAAATTTAAAAATGAAAAAAAAAAATACTAATTACTTCTCAACCACCGGTCCTGCTAAGAACTGAATATACATATATATTAATAAAAGATTAACAAAATGTGAGTTCTGGCACCTTTTTTCTTACAAAAAAAGCCCTGGGTATAACAATAGACTCAGCATGTTTACTACATGCCTAGAGAGGTTTAGTTGGAAGTGGAACCCTCCATTTAAAAATTACCTTTATTCAAAACCTGAACTAATAATAATAATGAGATAATATTGGGATAATTTGCTTTCCCAAAGTCGAACCCCACAAAGGCAAGGGTCCTGATCACAGGGATTTGTCCCAAATACCAGACCAAGGAGCTCTCTGCCATTCCAAAATACATTTTGGATTGCATTGAAGCATTTGAGCAGTGTGATTTAAGACTGATAAGAAACTGCTGTTGCTATTATTAAACTGCTAAGAGTTGGAAATCTTTTCATTAATCAGCTGCAAATGGATCAGCAGATCCATTACTGTAAAGGTTGGTTTCCATACTAATAGAACTTCAAGACACTATGTGATATAATTCAACATTCATAATAAAATAAATAGGGCTGGTTAGAGTTCGAGTGAAACAGCATAAAAGCATTCATAATAACTAAATGTAAACCACCAGCTACAAGCTCCTCCATTAACAGTGAAAAGAGCTGGATTATAGGAGAGCTTTTAAGATGAAATTCTAAACCTCTGCTACAAATATCTGGGCATCTATTGGTCCTAAATGAGAAATAGTTCAGTGGCTGGAATTTTTGTACCTCCAACCTTTTCTTCATAAATAACAGAATAAAAGAGTTAGAAGGAACCTTGGAGGTCTTCTAGTCCTACTCCCTGCTCAAGCAGGAGACCTTATACCATTTCAGATAAATAGCTGTCCAATCTCTTCTTAAAAGCCTCCAGTGATGGATGTCTATGGAGATTCTCAGTCATCCAGGTCCCAAAGGTGTTTTTTCAGGAGGCAACTGGACTTTCTGGTTTTCCTTTGAAGATGTTTTGCTTCTCATCCAAGAAGCTGAAGAAGCTTCTTGGATGAGAAGCAAAACGTCTTCAGAGAAAAACCAGAAAGTCCAGTTGCCCCTTGAAAAAGCACCTTCGGAACTCCAGTAATGGAGCACCCACAACTTCTGGAGCCAAGTTGTTCCACTGCTCAATTGCCAGGAAATTCCTCCTTAGTTCTAGGTTGCTTCTCTCCTTGATCAGTTTCTATCCGTTGCTTCTTGTCCTGCCTTCAGGCGCTTTGGAGAATAATTTGACCCCATCTTTTTTGTGGCAGGCTCTTAGATAGTGGAACACTGCTATCATGTCCCCCCTAGCCCTTCTCTTCATTAAAGTAGACATACCCAATTCATGCAATCTTGCTAAAAGAGAACTCCATCAGAATTGTGCTTGGAAATAATTGCTTTCAGCTTTAGATAATAACCAACAACTCTGACAATTATGCTAAAGCAGGAAAGGCATGGACCCAGATAAAGTCTTTTTGAAGGAGGTTTAGAAACAGAGAAAATTACCTGGTGGTAAACCTAAAGCCAGTTTGGCCATACAGTATTAGGACAGGTGCTAAAGTTGAGTGTGATCTGGAGGGCAAACAGTTGTCCAATGCACACTTGTTCTAAATCATTTTGGTGACCTTAAGTCAACACTAACTCTGAACCACAACGGTACTGCAATGAGGAAGTGGAAGCACCGAAATAGCTCTGAAATCTTCCAATTTTCGCCTTGATTAATCATATTTTTTTACACATTCTATCTTTGCAGTTGCTAGAAGTAAAAAAAAAAATGACTCGACGGCACATAGAAATAATCCTTGACTTATGACCACAATGGAGCCCAATATTTCGGTTGCTAAGCGAGGCAGTTGTTAATTGAGTTTTGTCCCATTTTACAACCGTTTTTGCCGCAGTTGTTAAACAAATCACTGCAAAAGTTAAGTGAAGCAAGCAGCTGTTAAGTGTATCTGGCTTTCCCCGTTGACTTTGCTTGTCTGAAGCCAGCTGGAAAGGTTACAAGTGGCGATGGTGTGATCCCAGGACACTGCAAACATCGTAATTACATGCTGGTTGTCAAGTTCCCAAGTTCTGATCACGTGCCCATGGGGATGCTGAAAGGGTCATTAGTGTGAAAACCGGTCATATGTCATCTTTTTCATTGCCATTGTAACTTTGAAAGGTCACTAAATGAATGGTTGTCAGTCAAGGACTACCTGTAATCAATCAATCAATCAATCAATCGATCACAAGGCATCTGCGAAGTCTAAAGGACAACTGAGACTTTCCACCCTTTCCTCACCACTGATCTAAGTCAGTGATGGTGAACCTTTTAGAGAACAAGTGCCCAAACTGCAACCCAAAATCACTTATGTATTGCCAGGTGCCAGGTGGGCATGGCCCACCGGGTGGGCATGGCTACAGTGGTCATGGCAGACAGGTGAGCGTGGCCAGCTCAATGTTGCTCCTGGGGAGGGATGCCTGTGGGGGCCGGGCAGAGTTGGGGGAGATCCAGGGGGTCTCTGGTGGATGGGGCAGTGGGCAGGAGGCTTGTCCTGCGGGGTGAGGTGAGGCAGGGCAGGGCAGGGGTGCCATTGTCGCAGGGCAAAGCGAGGCAGGGCCCGGGGTGGCTGCTGCCTGACACCATTGGCCCCCGCACACAGAGGCCAGCGAGCGCATGGGTGCTGGGATGCATCCGGCCACATGGGACCTCGGCGAGTTAGCAGGCGACTGGTTGAAGAGGACGGTTGCCATCTCCGGGGCATGGTATATGTGCCCACAGAGAGGGCTCTGAGTGCCGCCTCTGGCACGTGTGCCATAGGTTCGCCACCACTGATCTAAGTAGTCTAGATTGGGAGAAGTTAAGACTGCAGGTCTGATAGGGACAGTGACCTTCAACCTTGGCAAGTTTAAACTGGATGGACATCCCGGGTAGCCTAGATGATCTTAAAAGCCCCTTTCCAACTTCCCAGTTCTATGACTCTATGACTTTAATAATGCCTGCACCATAAGAACAGGATTAAGGGACGATCTTTGCTCTGTCTCTTTTCTGCAAATGCCAATGCCAATTCAGTCCTCTAACTGAGCAAAATAGTTTTAATGTCTTCACAGAAAATATAATGAACTAAGAACAGCTGAACAGAAACGGGTCCTCTGGTTTTGCTTTGAAAGGTTTCTTTCCCAACTCCCAAAGGTAGAACAAGCCCATCCGAGCGACTCCATGTATCCTTCAGTTTCAGATCATCTTCTTGAAACTCTGAAGAGCTTCGTCCGCCTTCTGCAGTTCTGTCTCGCTTTGTTTCAGCTGGAAAAAAAAAATGCCCAAGACAGATGTGTTGATAAAGTTGTTGATATGTCCCCTTGGGACATCCTGCCCTCCGTGGTAAGATCTGCCCCTAACCTCCCTTAAGAGCCTAAAGATCTAGCTCTGCAGATTGGCCTGGGGACCCAATGGGGGAGTTCAACTCTGGAAGTGGCAGTTAGATTGACAGCAGACACCATCTCCCCTCCCCCCCACTTCTGCTCTCCATTACGTCCATCTTTTTTACTAATCATATCAATGTATTTTCTTTGCTCCTTTTTCCTTACTTATTTCATTGTTCTATTATTTTACTTTAATTTTGATTAAACCTTTCTTGTTCCTTCATTTTTTATGGTTGTGTAGCCCCATGGCAATATAGGCGGCCAAGAAATTTAATAGTCAATTGCAAAAAGGCAGCTTTACTCAGAACAGCTTACACCCTGCGACGATACCTCTTGATACACCAACATCTGCCTATCCCGGGTCTTTGGGAAAGGTTGGACAAAATGACAAATCTAGTCTGGACAAAAATGACAAAATGACAAAATCTAGTCTGGTGGAGAAAAATGGACAAAAATGGTGGACAAAAATGACAAATCTAGTCTGGACAAAATGGCTGACTGTGTGATGAAATAATAATAATAATAATAATAATAATAATAATAATAATAATAATAATAATAATAATAATAATAATAATAATAATAATAATAATAATAATAATAAAGCATCTGCATCACACTTCATATTCTTGTTCTGAAGGGTCTTTTTGTAATTACCCTCAAGAAATATGCAGAATTGGCTATCTAGAATGTATAAAGGTATTTCAAATGAATGTTGGAAATGTAAATATAAAGAAGGGGCTTTTTATCATTTTTGGTGGATGTGTGATAAAGCAAAGAAATATTGGGAGTAGGATTCATACATTAATGCAGAAAATTCTTAAAGGGAACATAAAGATTAAACCAGAAACTTTCCTTCTGGGTCTAATGGAAAAAGACTTGGGGGGAAAAAATGGAACTCTGATTTTATATATGGTGATGGCAGCAAAACTGCTCTATGCACAAAAATGGAAGGAGGCTTCAAATTAGGAGAGATGGCTGTATCAAAACAGAGATGACTGTTTTGATAAAAGAAAAGAATATAAGTACTTTTGTTTCTACTTGGAAACCACTTCTGGACTTTGTGCTTGAGGTGGAAAAAAATGATACTATGATTTTGGGTTTTACTAATTAGACTGGTTTGTTGATATAGAAATGGCTAGTTCATACTACTATAGAAATGTAAAAAGTTGAGATTCAATCTTAATCTCTTATTTTACTGCAACAGAGGGAGTCGGAAGTCGACACCTTTTGTTTCTTCCCCTCCCTTCCTCCACACTTTTTCCTTTTTCCTTTACCTAATGTTGTCCCTTACTATTTGTTTTTCTATTTTCATATTTTAATGTTATAAATGAATAAAATAAAATAAATAAATATAAATAAAAGAAATATGCAGGATGGGCAATTTATGGCCCTCAAGCCTCTTTTCTGAGATCTATCATTTCAACAGTGTGGTTTCCTGCCTTTTTTAGGTGAACAGCATGCACAAAGTGAAAAATAAGCGTCTCAGGTTAAAAGGCAAGTAAAACTCAAAAACCTTCTAAACTCCTTGTCCCAAAGGAGCTTTTTCAAAAGGCAATTGGACTTGTTTCGTTTCTCATCCAAGAAGCATCTTCAGTTCTACAGTTCTGAAGAAGCTTCTTGGATGAGAAGTGAAATGTCTTCAAGGAAAAACAAAGTCCAGTTGCCTTTTTTAAAAAAGCACCTTTGGGACAACCATGACCTGGATGACTGAGAATCTCCAGAGATTTCTAAACTCCTTCCCACCACATTCTAAGGAAAGCAAGAACCAGAATGTTAAAGTGATCACTGGCCACCAAAATTATCCACCCCTGCAGGACTCAAGATCTTCTGAAGGAACCAGCAACTTTTCTGGCCCTCAGTCCTGAATGCTGGGTCCCCAAATGGCTAAAATCCCTCAATCTCTTATGATCATGGAGATTTCAGAAGCTGAAAACAGAAACAACCCCCCCTCCCCAATCTTTTGGGACATTTGGTATCTTGGCACCCACAAGTGATGCAATGGATCAAGCATCATCCCTAACAGAGCAAGCCCCCAAATGCCAATCCTGTATGAGTTACCTTGGCTGCATCCAATTCTTGGACTTTGGCCGGTACTTTCACAGCATACTCTGGATTCACCATACGCTGGCGTAATAATAGGATTTGTTTCTGCAGCTCTGCCTTTTTCCCTGTCAGTTTGGCTATCTCCTTCTCCGCATCAATCAAGCCCTGCCAAGGAATTCAGAGAGTCAGCAATGCTACCGTGCTACCTCATGGGTAGCACTATGAGTTGAGAGTCACTGTAACCAACTGGATCCGCAAGTCATCTAATATGGGTATACATGAATATCCCTGAGATCTGAGATGAATCATGACCATTATCTTCCTGAATACTACAGAAACAGACAACAGCCCAAACGGAAGAACCCAGAATGTTGCTAAATCTCTGGCATTTGAACTTCAGCAACAAGGAGATCAAATCAGTCAATCCTAAAGGAAATCAACCCTGACTGATTTTTGGAAGGACAAAAACTGAAGCTGAAGCTCAAATACTTTGGCCACCAATGGAGAAGAGAAGATTCGTTGGAGAACACCCGGATGTTGGGAAAGACTGAAGGCAAAAGGAGAAAGGGATGGCGGAGGATGAGATGGTTAGATAGATGGAGGACAGGGGAGCTTGTTGTGCCATGGTCCATGGGGTCACGAAGAGTCGGACACCCTTAGCAACTGAACAACAGCAACAACACTGGAATATATAGGCAGGCCTCCATTAGAGGTAGTGACACCAGGATATTTTTATTTTGTAAGCACTCCCTCGGGGAATTTATGACACAGAATCTGAAGGTTAATTTGCTTTAAGTCCAAATGGCAAACCGTTCCCTGCTCTTGAAAGCAGTGAAGTACAGGTAGTCCTTGATTTACAACAGTTCGTTTAGTGACTGTTCAAAGTTACACAATGGCGCTGAATAAAGTGACTTATGACCATTTTGCACACTTGTGACCGTTGCAGCATCCCCATGGTCACATGATGAAAATTCAGATGCTTGGCAAGTGTCCCGGGGGGGTCATGTGACCAGCTTTTGTAACCTTCTGACAAGTAAAGTCAATGGGGAAGCCAGAATCACTTAACGACCGTTACTAACCCAGCAACCATAGTGATTCACTTAAAAACGGTGGCAAGAAAGGTCCAAGAAAGTTTGTAAAATGGGAGAAAACTCTGTTAACAATTGTCTCGTTTAACAACAGAAATGTTGGGCTCAACTGTGGTGCTAAATCAAGGACTACCTGTATACAAAATATGACCCTCAAGACTTTTTTTACCTCATGAAACTAGTCAATCAATCATTTGGGTGCCTAAAAGTGATTAATGGCCCTCAGAACTACCTTGTGATTGGTCACCTACCACATTGCAGATGATGGAATAAAGTGATATCAGTGGGGGTGCTGGTGAATTCTATATCTAATGGTACGCAAGACTATCTTTAGGACATGGTGATCAGATGTTCTGTGTACAGAACAAATCTATTAGCTTCCTAGCCTTTGGATGGTGTGGGAAAGGGTTCTTCTGTAAGGCTGGCAGAATCCAGAATGCTTCCTTGTCCTTCCACAAGTTCACACAAGTGAATAATTGGACCTGGGTTTACTCACCGTGAGTCTCGTTGTTCTAACTGCTAAGGAAGATAAAGTAATGTAGGACACCAGAAGAAGAAAATGGAAAAAGGAAAGGCTGATTACTGAGGGAGACCTGATTATGTTGATGCTTGGTGCAACGGTGAAGAGGGTGGACTCACTGGTGTGGGGCAGAGCAGAACCTGGGGTCTGGAGCTCTCTGAAGCTCCATCAGAATCTTGTAGTTTTGCCTTCAGAGCAAATGTGAGTCACCCACTTCAGAATTCCCTGCCTGTACTATATATAAAAAAAGAAATCTGCTCCTCCAAACTAAGGATCCCACTGGTTCTTTACTGCCGGTCACCATTTTGTGGCCTGCTTATTTTTTAGTACCTTCAGCAGAAGATGGACAATGCATTTGTCGGAAGCTATAGCTACAGCACAGCCAGAAGGAGGAACCTGCCCAGGTTCTAGTACCAAAACTTGCTTGGAGGAGGAAAGAATGCAGATATAGTCAGAGCAACGAGTCACGGTCTCCGCCGTCTGAAGATCCAAACACTGCAGGTAACCTAGGGACAGATGAACATCTGCAACTACACAACGGCTCCTAGCTCTCTACGCAAAAAGGTATTGAGCTAGCAGAGGTTTGACATTAATTTAGCACTTATTTTTCAGAGGTGGGGAGACCACCCAAAAACGTGCCACAGAAAACTAGCCATTCTGAGCAGCACGTTCTTGCAGGGAGAGAAATATTGGTGGCTCCAGACACTGAACTGAGATGTTGCAAACTACTGGTCCATCTCAAGTCTATGAAATCACTAAAACCCATCATTATCTCCCACTGCCAAGCTAAGACCAATATTGGGGGAAAGATTTGTAGCTGCAGGGATATTAAAGATCTTCCACCTCCATTGATGTTTACTTCAAGTTTACTTCAAGCCAAGTGACTACCAAAAGTTGGCCTGGTCTGCTAATGTATTTTAATTGTTTAGGCAGGCAACTTTCTCCAAACCGAGCTGCTCCAGATTTGGCAGTACGGCAAATTCCGGAATTTCAAGCCAGCTTAAGACCCGGATTCATAGCCTCTCATTCATTAGTGAAAAAGCCTTCAGTGGAAAAACTCACAGTCAGCTTTGGTTTTGGTAAGGTTGTAGTCTGCCCGGAGAAAACGCACAGCCTTGATGATGTTCAATATGAAGTCAAAGGTTTGGTCCAGTTCTTCATTCCTCCAATGGAACTGAAAGGAAGCAGAAGTATGAGCTGCTCGATTTAATTTTTAAGTTCAACATCAGACCAAAAGGAAAATGGACTAAGAGAAGAATTTCTTTAGTTTCAAAACAGCTAGTCCTCCATTTACGACTGGTCATTTTACGATCTTTAGAAGGTTATGACAGCCTATAAAGCACTCTGGCCATCGTAAAGGGTTGTCCTGGCCCACCATGGTCATGAGACTGCATGTGTTGAGTGGGTCAGCTTTACTACCCATCGTGGCATTCTGGGGGGTCTCATGATCATGATATCCAATGTTTTTGGCTGGTTCCTGAGATTTTTTGCCAGTTTCTAGTTAAAAAAAAACATCATTCAGATGAATGGATTCACTTAATGACTGTTGGGTTTTCTTAACGATAGTAGCATACACTTAATGACCACTGTAAAAAAAGGCTTTAAGCGTTTACTTAAAGACCACGGTAAAAAAAATTTACTTTGGGTCACAGGGTGCCTCAACTTACAACCAGATTGTGATCCCAATTATGGTTGTTAAGTTGAGCATTCCCCGTACTAATTTTCCTGTTTCAGTACTATACTGATAAAGAGCTAAGGCTAGCAGTCTTAATGTTCTGTTTCATTATGATTATACCTTGGATTATGATTTTATTGGAAACCAATTTGTTGTCTCCTTTTTTGTTACAAAAGGAGCTTCTGTGATAACATTTGGCTTCCTCCCCAGAGTGTACTAGATCTCATCCAACAATGTTATATATGCAGAATAACAGAGTTGGAAGGCACCTTGGAGACCTTCTAGTCCACCCCCCCCCTGCTCAAACAGGAGATCCTAAAACATTCTGGACAAATGGTTGTTTAGGATCTTCTTGAAAACCTCCAGTATTGGAGCACCCACAACTTCTGGAGGCAAGCCATTCCACTGGTTAATTGTTCTAACTGTCAGGAAATTTCTCCTTAGTTCTAGGTTGCTTCTCTCCTTGGTTAGTTTCCATCCGTTGCTTCTTGTCCTGCCTTCAGGCGCTTTGGAGAATAGCTTGACTCCCTCTTCTTTGTGGCAGCCCCTGAGATATTGGAACACTGCTGTCATGTCACCCCTAGTCCTTCTCTTCATTAAATTAGATCAGGGGTAGGCAACCTTGGCTCTTTTATGACTCATGGACTTCAACTCCCAGAATTCCTGAGCCAGCCAGGCTGAGGCGAAAGGGAGAGTTTCCAAGCTGAGCCATGCTAGCTCAGGAATTCTGGGAGTTGAAGTCCACGAGTCATAAAAGAGCTAAGGTTGCCTACCCCTGAACTAGACATACCCAGTTCCAGCAACCGTTCCTTATATGTTTTAGCCTCCAGTCCCCTAATCATCTTTATTGCTCTTCCCTGTACTTTTTCTAGAGTCTCAACATCTTTTTTGTATCGTGGTGACCCGAACTGGACATAATAGCCCAAGTGTGGTCTTACCAAGGCAGCATGTATGTTGCCAGGCTCAAGCTTCAGATTCTGTTACCCACTTACCTGCTCAGTAGTGGGGTAAGGAGTGACACAGATGCTGGGAGGGTCAGAGGAAGGAGACCGTCGAGGCAGACGCTGGAAGAGTTCCTCGGTGACAAACGGCATGAAAGGGCTGAGGAGACGAAGGCCAGCATCCAAGCAGGTGTAAAGAACATTCTGGGCCGTCTGAATCGCAGCCTGGTCTGATCCGGCAAACACAGGCTTTAGGCACTCCTAAGTGGAAAACGAAAGAGAATAAAAATGTAGAAGGTGATCCTTATTCAGCCAAGCAGATAAGCCCACTAAACGCAGGTACAGGTAGCCCCTGACTTATGACCACACGCTAAGGAAGTTGGTTGTTAAGTGAGTCACACTTGATTTTACCAACTTTATTGCCACGGTTGCTAAGCAAACGTTTGCAGTTAAGTGAATCACATGGTCATTAAGCAAATCCAGTTTCCCCGATTGATTTTGCTTGCCAGCCAGGATGCTGCAATTGTCATAAATATATGCCGGTGACCAAGCACCCAAATGTTGATCACATGGACTTGTAGATGCTGTGATGGGCATAAGTGCAAGTAATGGTTGTAAAGTCACCTTTTCAGTATCACTGTAACTTTGAACAGTCGCTAAGCAAACGGTTATAAGTTGAGGACTATTTGTATTGATTTGAATTTATTAGCCACCCAATTCTGCTGTGTATCTTTTACTATTCCATTCAGAGATGAGTAGGCTATATTCAGTGATGGGATTCAATTATGTGAACAACAGGTTCTCTGTGTGGATGCCGCTTCCGGAAGTCCATTCTGGGCCTGGGCAACAAAAAAATTAACTACCGGTTCTGCCGAAATGATGAGAACGGGCTGAATCCCACCACTGCCTATATTCTCATACCATCTCAAATAAAGTTTTCTCCTCCTTTGCACTTTACATTTTTGAAACACTGGCTACTAATTTATTAGCAGACTTGTGTTTTTTTTTTATTAAAGTCTTACATGAATGAAAGCCAAAGTGAACCAAGCTTTTTGCCACTTTTTAAACTCACCTTCGCAAAATGTTTGTGTCCCCCTTATGATAACCAGGCAGAGATTCAAATTCAAATCTGTTTCGTAGTGCATTTAAGTGTTTACTAGATTTTGCATTGCCTTAACGCCAGGAACTCAAGAACAGCATTACAGACTCAGAACTACTCTGTGGAGTGGTTTCGAATGAGTTTGTACAGGTAGTCATCGGCAATTCGTTTAGTGACCGTTCAAAGTTACAATGGCACTGAAAAATGTGACTTACGCCTTTTTTTCAAAGTTATGACCTTTGATCGTATTTATGGTTCATGTTTATGACGGTTGCAGTGTCCCAGGGTCACGTGATCACCTTTTGTGACCTTCTGACAAGCAAAGTCAATGGGGAAGCCAGTTTCACTTAACAACCATGTTACTAATTTAACAACTGCCGCGATTCACTCATCAAACTGTGGCAAGAAAAGTTGCAGAATGGGGCCAAACTCATTTAACAACTGTCTTGCTTAAGAATAAAAAAATTGGATTCAATTGTGGTCGTACGTCAAGGACTACCTGTACTATCAGTTGTTGCAACTTAATCCGATCAATGGAATGAATGAGCCTGGCTCAGTAGCAAAATCAAAATCAGCCTTCATCCAACCAAATATATTGGGACAGTGACTGAGATAATCCCAGCTAGTTAGGAATTCTGGGAGTGACAGAGCATAGAATAATTGCCAGGGACTTTGGAGGTCTTGTAGTACAGCCCCCTGCTCAAGACAGGAGGTCTTACACCATCACAGTCAAATGGCTGTCCAGTCTATTTTTGATAACCTCCAGAGTTGGAACACCCACAACTCCAGGAGGCAAGCTATTCCACTGTTTGTTTTCACTGTGGGAAATCTTCTCCTTACTTCTAGGCTGGATCTCTCTTTAAGAAGCCTCCGCCCTAAAACATATAAGGAAAGGCTGCTGGAACTGGGTATGTCTAGTTTAATGAAGAGAAGGACGAGGGGGGACATGGCCTTCTCTGTGGGAGCTCCCACCCTCTGGAATGAACTGCTCCCAGAGATCAGGGTGATCCCTGATCTCCCTTCCTTCCGCCGCGCCCTTAAGACTTGGTTATTCCAGCTTGCAGGACTGGCCTAGGGCAATTTTTAGAGGGGGTTTTAATTATATTTTAATTCGACTATATTTAAATATTTCCTTTTAATTAATTTTAATTTTGTAATTGTCATTTGTGTATTTTTAATTGATTGTCAGCCGCCCTGAGTCCGCAAGGAGGAGGGCGGGATATAAATTTAATAAATAATAATAATAATAATAATAATGATAGCAGAGTTCCAATATCTCAGGGGCTGCCACAAAGAAGAGGGAGTCAAGCTATTCTCCAAAGCGCCTGAAGGCAGGACAAGAAGCAACGGATGGAAACTAATCAAGGAGAGAAGCAACCTAGAACTAAGGAGAAACTTCCTGACAGTTAGAACAATTAACCAGTGGAACAACCTGCCTCCAGAAGCGGTGAATGCGCCAACACTG